ACCAATAAAGAAATGGTTTGGTTAACATTACTACAGAATTCCTGGCTTTAAAAGGTAGATCATATGCGTAGATCCTAAAAATAAAAATCATGAGAAGTTTTCAAAGTTACAAAAGTAACTATCAATTGATTTTTTTTAGTAAAAAAAATGAAAGTCGGTCTAAAATACAGTCATGACACAAATATATCTAACCAATATCCTATGCATTATTGATAAGCAATTTCCTAGAAGGGGTGGATAAGTACTGAATCATGGGTTTCCTTCAGGCTGGTGGCTAAAAAGTGAAGAGCTATGCCATCTGAAAGGAATATCAAGATGGAAATCTTGAAGAGAGGTCAAAGAGAAGTCAACAGAAGGGAGAGCAATCAGGTTTCCTCAATTAAATGGAAAACAGAAAAGGAAGCAGAATGGTAAGAGCCACAGAAAGCCATGTAATAGAATGTGTAAGTCCTTTAGAAGTGTGTACTTCTAAATGTACTATCTGAAGCATTACATGAAGGGAGGTTAAGAAGATGACAGGAGCATTATTCTCTTGGCCTTGGATAATCTGAAAAGAAACAAAAGTGACCGAGTGATTTCCATGGCTTCTAGAGAGTTTTCATTAATATTCTTTTGCTGTGGCTTAAGTCATTTACACTATGGCAAGAAAAGAGTGGCATGGACATAACACATGTCTGAAATATTGCCCTGGTAAAGTTACTCTGTAACTAGTACAATCAAGTGCTTCCCTACTGGGAAGACGGCAGGTAACAAATGTCCCCTTAAAAATGTGAACCCAAATTTGATAGTCTGATAGCCTTCACTGGTGAAATGGCTGGACCTCAGCCCTCTTTTAAGCCATGGCTCTATCCACGAAGTGTCCTACAAGCTCCCAGGGATAAAATCACGATGCTGTTCCTACTTGGCTCTGGCTGCTGCCAAGGCCGCTGTCTACAGCTGTGCTCCAAGCAAACGTCAGGTGCTCTGCCAAAAATGCCACCTGACCTAAGGCTCACTACTACCCCCTCTGTGCTGTAACGACCACCAGATAAGGGCTTGAAAGCTGCCCCAGACGGCTGCCCACTGTGCCGCCCCTCTGCTTCCAGCCCCTCCTCAGCCCTTGTTTCAATTTGATGATGTTATCACTCTACCCTCCACCACACCATTCTCTCTTCTCTAACAACAACTAGGGAACTCACCTGTTCCTCTAAGTTCAACTTTCTTACAGGATACCCTTGGAGCACGAGGTGTAAAAAGAGTTACACGTTTCTTCAGATTTTACCACAACAACAGTTTCCCCTAGGTGCACAAAAGTCCTTGATGGGTGGGTACAGGCTGGTGCGGGACAGGTTCAGGAAGAGGGGACTGAATTAATTAATACCCATTTGCCCCTGTAGCCATAGTCGTCGAGTCCAGCTCCACAACAATGACATCATTAAAAAGGTTATTTTTTTTTCCTTGCAAGTAATACAGTACATCATGATAATATGCTTTCCTCCTACAGCTGTCAGAAACAAACTGCTAGTCGACAGTTTATTAGATATATCAGATATGTCTAACGTTCAACTCTGGAAAGTTTTAATTTATTTCTCAAGAGCTTTCCTGCCTCCATATAATTTATTGGGTAAAATGAGAATAGATATATATAGTTTCTGTTGATGTGTAAAAAAACTTCCAGAAATTTCGTGGCTTAAAACAATACAAATTTATTATCACACAGTTTCTGGAGGTCAGAAGTCCAGGAATAGCATAACTGGCTTCTCTGCCAAGAGTCCTCACGAGGTTGAAATCAAGATGGCAGCTGGGTTGCTTTCTCATTTGGAACCTGGGGTTCTCTTACAAGCTCATACAGTTTGTTGGCAGGATTCAGTTCCTTGTGGTTGCAAGATTGAGGTACTAAGTTACTAGTGGCCCCCAGCCATCCTCTGCCATGTGGCTGGCCTTCTCCAAAACATCTGAGTTTGCCTCTTTAAGGCCAACTTGCGAACACCAACTACTCCTGTTTCTTGTTTCTTTTAAAGGCTTACCTTTTGGGGTCAGGATCATCTCCACTTTGATTAACTCAAAGTCAGCTGATTAAGGCATTTACCACATCTGCAAAATACCTTTTGTCATATAACATAATACAATATAGGGAGTGATAACCTTGCACCCAAGGGGAGAAGATTAAAAAAGGCATGCGCACCAGCAGGCCGGGGACTTAGTGATCATCTTAAAATTCCTCATCACATAGAAGATTGGGATTCTAATTATACATGCTAACCACACATGCAACTTTCAGTTCCTTTTGCAGAACAGGTACATTTATTTCCTTGCTGAAAAGAAGATCCGTTCTGCTTTTGTAGTTAAGCTGTGAACCGTATTACCCCACATGCCCCATCAAATAGACAGAGTCATAAGCCATTAGCTTTAAAGCTAAAAATAATCCTGAGTCAACTCAAGATTCATTCTCCAATCATTTGGGTTGACTTTAGCATTTAAGGTACTTTGAATACATACAAAATGACTTACATCAATCCTACTCCTGAGAACTTGAGGCTATTCTGGCATCAAGGTCATAGATTTTAAACATTTTGGCATTTTTAACTTGACAATGAAGAGAAGGCGGAGGCCTTTTCCATGACCTTACTCAGGTTATCAGAATCTATACAACACTTGGTTAACTAAGAGCCACCTGGCATAAGGTTTATAATTAGCAAAGAAATGTACACCAAGCTTTAAGAAGTATGTCTGTGGGTTTGTCAAACATAGACTTGATTTCATATAGTTCATGACAGGTCCTCTTAGATGACTGCCTTAATGAAACTACTTAAAAAATACAAAAAAATGTATCTGCCATTAGAGCTGGTTCCCAAGTTCTCACATAACAGGTGCAATTACAGAATTATGAAGAATTAATGCTCTTGCTAAAAAGTAATATTTGGGGAACATGAGTCAGGTTGCTATCTAAATTCTGTGTCTCCTGAATTATAATTCTAATTGCCCAAATAAAAGTCTACTTAAAAAAATAATTAAAAGTACAATATACTACATCATGGGTATAATAAAAACATTGTAAAATATAATAGTCAATGTCTCTCTAGATATAAGGCAAATTCTAGCTAAGCCCATATTAAAAGAACAGAGAATAGTCATTTGAAAATGAACAAACATGCTGAGTTGAAGTAAAAAAAATTAAATTGTTTACAATCTTGATAGGGTCTCTAAGTTGGATATGAATAGTATGTGAGTGTAAGTATAATCATTATTTAAATAAAAGCAAGAATAGCCTCATTAACATCTGGTCCAGGGTGGAAGAGCCCCCTAGTCCTACTCATCAAGAGCAGACATCCATCGAATGACCCCTGTGTGTGAGGCACACGTCAGATTCAACACCACACCACTCGGCATCAAGGGTCTTCAACCCAACTTCCATTTCTGTGTTTCAAACAGTGCTCCTATCATGTTCTCCGTTGTTCAAGCTCAAAACTTTACATTTTCCTTGACATCTCACATCACCCCTGTTCACCCTTGTTGAGAGTTTTATTGCAATTCCCACCATTTAATGCCCTTAATTTTCATTCTCTTGGCACTGCTGTGAAGAACCATGTACCAGAATCCTGTATGATTGCATAAGCTTTCTAACACAACTACATTTTCTGCCCCCAATTACCACTCTTTCCAAATTTTCCCATATAGAACTGCTAGATTAATATTCCCAAATTCTTAATAAAAGGTCACGTTTGAATGCCACTTGGCAGATTCTCATCTAACTAGTTTATGTGCATTTTATAATTTAAACCTTGCAACAATCTAGCCACATTCTTATTATCTTCATTTTGCAGAGGAAGAAACTTCGTAAAAGAAATACCAAAGAAGTTTTCTAAGGTAGAGCCAGGTATCTGACTCCGGAGCTACTTCTTAGAATCATCACTGTACTGTGTTTCATGTAAATTAACGGCATGCACTAATGTCCATTACCCATGAAACTAAACCCAAATGCTTTCAACCTAGAACTCAAATCTGCTCTTTTTAATTCCTGAAAATAAATGGACTGCACCCACCATTGTGCTTTTCCTGTCATTTAGAATGCTATTTTCCTCCACCTATCCAAGTGTGATTTATCATTCAAGCTGATCTCAGGCTCCGCCCCTTCCATGAAGTGTCCAGACCACCCAAGTTATTGCAATATCTCCCTCCTTTAAACTTCTTGAACATCTATTTCATTTTTGTACTTATAAAAACGTCTTCTTATACTGGGGACATCTGATTTATTTCACTTGTACTATGTGATATGTGACATTTGCCTTATTGAGAGAATATAAATTATTTAGGGATATAGATTTTGACTTCTCCGTTTTGCCTTCACAGCACATAGAATAATACCTTACATTAGGAAAGTGCTTTGTAGATGGAGGGCTCCCATTCAATGCAAACTTACTAAGGGCTCTCCATCAGCAAGCTCCTATAATGAGAACAGTAAGGTAAACAGAGGTGACTATACATGCTCCATGAAACTGTTTCCTTGCTGTGAAACAATTTCCAGTCTAATTATGGGACAAATAAGTATAATTTGTTGTATATTTACATACACAGTCATCACAGTAAGACAGACACTGACATGCACAAGCAACACTCAGGGAAGACCTAATAAAATTATATGTCAAGTGATGAGCTACCATATCATGGGAACAGGAAGAAGAAATATGAGTAGGGAAGCATAGGTTACATACTTCGGGAGGAGTAAATAGACCAGCCTGATAAAAATGTAACATAGGAGGCCCACCTTCCCAGATGCTCCTTGGTAGCTGAGGCACACACCCTTGGAAGACGTTTATTTCCCCTCAGAATTCTATCTTTACAGTTATATAACTCAAAAACAAGCTTAGATATGAGGATTCATTTCAGCTACAGAACACCTCCCTTGGTACAACCCAAAAGACCAGTGTTTACTTTTCATTAAAGAATGGAGCCTGCTTGATATACCAGCAGGTGAAGAACCAAAGGAGGGTTTATCTTTATTCTTCTTAGCATTGAGAGTCTGCTGTTGGAACCATCAGGCACCATGGGGAAGTGAGATAATCGAGTGGCCTATATGAATCCTATAGCAATGGCCAGATGGAGGGGCTCAACTCAATCTACAGGCCCAACAATACAAGATTATCTGAATCGACCAAGGCCCACCTGGGAAGAAGTGAAGAAACAATTAGAAAAAAAAAAGAAAGGCTCCAAGGCATTAGCTGAATTTGAAGAAAAAATGAATGAGAATTGGAAAAAAGAATTAGAAAAAAGTAGAGAAAAATTATTGAGTGGAAATGAGAGCTCTTCTAAAAAAAAAGAAAAAAAGAAAAAGAAGAAATCTTGTCGGTCTTCATCTTCTTCTTCATCAAGCTCTGATTCTTCAAGCAGTTCAGATTCTGAGAATGAGGAAAAGAAACAAGGAAAAAAGAGAAAGAAAAAGAAGAACCATTCATACAAATCATCAGAAAGCTCTACATATGAATCTGAATCAGAGAGCAAGGAATCTGTGAAAAAGAAAAAGAAGTCAACGGATGAAACAGAGAAAGAAAAGTATATTAGAAGTCTCAGCAAAAAAAGAAAGAAGACTTATCCTGAAGATAAACCCTCATCATCAGAGTACTCATCAGGATCAGAATATGAAGAGGAAGTGCAAGCAAAAAAGAAGAGAAGACATGAAGAGCGAGAAAAAGCAAGAGAAAAAGCAAAGAAGAAGAAGAAGAAACAGCACAAGAAACATAGTAAGAAGAAGAAAAAGAAGTCAGGTTCAAGTCACAAGTCAGGATAACAAGAAAAAAATTAAGATTTTCCCATTTAAAAAAGCAAGGATTTAAGGAAATTTCAACTGTGAATGTTAGGGCATATTTACCAAAATGCATGAATTTCCTTGTGTTTGTAGAATATTCCTGGACTGAGTGCCAGTCATATGCCACTGTGCCAGAAAGGGCCATAATCATTGCCTGCAGCATAAATATATAATTTTGTTTGTGTGTTTTCCCTTCCAGGGTTAATTCTTCTGAGATCTAAAACCCTGTTGTTCATACTAGTGGTTAAAACATTTGGATTTTGAATTAAAATGTTTTAGATAATAATTTTCACCCCCCAAATGTATCTAATTTGGATTTATCTTTAAAATATAATCAGAAATATCTAGACAACTATAGTTGACATTTTTGAAGCATGGACTTAATGATGTCTCAGAATCCTTACTTTTGAAGATTAGTTTATTTTACTTCTTAATAAACTTTAGTTTACATGGGGAAAGGGCTTGTGGGGGAAAAAAGAGTTTGCTATCACTTTGGCTAGCTGAATAGTGTGCCTTTGATCTTTACACATCCTATTTTTGCCAGTGCAGTGGCCATTCTTTTCTTATTTAGTGAAATTCTGGGATGTTGTATGCTGCTTCAAGTGAATAAGAAGACAGAAAGTATAAGCCCCCAGTTCTATGAAATTTACCTCCACTTTAGCAGTACTGAATAATATTTAGCATTAGAGTGTTACATTATTTGAATTAACTTTGATACCCTTTGGAGGGGAATCATTTTAAATAAACCCTGGTATTTTTTGATTAATAAAGATTCTGAAATATTTTGCATGTTTTATACTATTATTTTTTGATTATCCAGGGATATTCTATATAAGCAGTAATCCTTTTTATATGATTTATGCTTAGGATACAAGTTTGTAATTTCTTAATCTTACTATATTTCGTTACTAGGTTTAATTGCACACTTGACAAAATATTTAGCATGTAAAAAGAAGGTTTTTAAAAAAATATTTAATGCCTTCATATTGAAGCTTGTTTACTCTAAGCAAGTTAAGTGCCAGACCTCTAGTACACTATGTGTCTTGTTACATAAAACTACTGCCAAAATCTTAGTAAGTATGCTGTTTAAAAGTTCAGTGTGTTAAGCATTAGTATTGAATTAAAATAGGAATTCAGTTTAGGACACAATGACATCATTGATCTTTCTGTGTCATATTTTACTAAGATTTGGTGACTTGTGTTTGTTTACCACTAATGCTGGAATGAGTTGGGAATTATTTTTATTTTACATATTGATATATCAGAGTAATACAAATCATCAGTTGATGTCTCAAAAAGAACCACCTGTTACAGAGGATGTGCTAATTGTAATGTCATATTTACAAAGTATTTTGGCATGATGAGAGAAACAATAGCTATTTTTTAATAACTGATTTCATATCAGTTCCCTTGAATCACAGGTAAAGTTATTATAAAGATAGAAAACATCAAGCAAATAAATATTGACTCCCCAAATTTTTGCAGTTGAAATACCAGAATCTCTCAGAAAGGCTCTTGGAACATTATAAATGTAATGTCATGTTAGATCACCTTAAAGCTTCATAACTTTAGTTGTTTGCTAAAAAACAAACAAAAAACCCAAAAACAAAAAACTATATATGCTGATAAAGTATATATTTAAGGGATATTTTATAACCACATAGAGTTTTCCAAAATTGTTTTTCATTAAAATATGAGAAAAGCTTATATTATTTGTAGAATATGGCAAAAACATTAACAGCTTACCAAATGTCTGTGTGCTCCTATTCACTTCCTAGCCCCTTGTAGATAGGCAACGCCATTTGACTACTTCTAGCAGAGGGATTGCAAAAATTGTAAACAGAAATGAGGTGTCATTTCAATACTGGAGCAGCATAATGTCCTGCATGACCTTCCAGCTCTCTCAATGAACTCCAAATGGTGTACCTATAAGATAGAGGCAGCCTGTATCTCTAAGTTACTGTTTATAAGGGAGCCCTGGAGAGCTGATGAACTTGCAGGGAACCTTTTGGGAGTAAGAAATAAACTGTTATATGTTAAAAAAAAAAATGCAACATAGGAAATGAAAGGGTGGAAATTAATAAAACAGTAGATAAAGCAAAGCAGAAAGCACTCTGAATGGCAGGCTATGGATTTCGGATTCTCTTTGAGATGCAGTATGGTTCTGAGTATCAGCTAATAATGAACACAGTGTATGGCCATACAGAGTTGCTGTTAAGATGAAAGAAGAAAGCGTTTGTACAACACCTAGCATGGGGCCTGGAAAAACACAGATGTTCACCAAAGGATACCTTGTCATTGTTCACTGATGAGAGTTCTGCTTTATACAGTTAAATCTGCCACAGGATGGGGATGAAGGAGAAAACGGACGCAAACTTGCAGTTAATGTGTCCTTGAAAGGAGAGAGAGGCTCTGAGGCTACCAAAATTCAATACACATTTGTGGGGGCAACAAGCAAAGCACAAGTTAATCTGCCTTTCCTTGAATGCCATGGACATGCACGCTCTCTCAGAGAGACGTTAAAAGGATGGGAAAAGAATAAAAACAATTCGTTCTAAGTAGTCCTTCCCTTTCACTTATGTGTTTTCCTAAAACGAACAAGAAGTTCCTAAAGGTGGGAGACTCTTTAGGGCAATATAGAATACTACCCTGGGCCCTTTCCAGCATCTCAGACACGCGTCTCCTTCCTGGGAATCACTGTGCATAGATTATCTCAGGCTAATCATCTTTGCAAATGCTTGGTTCCAAGAAAGAAACAGAGTGGAAACTAACCACTGTGAGCCCATTTTGAGCTGTTTGGTTTTCCAGTTTTTGGAGGCAGACAACACCGAGTGCTTGAAAAGGCGCTCTCTCAAACAGGCTTTCTGGAGCCAAAGCCGACCTGACTACCTGCTCTTTTTACCTTTCTGCTTTATTTCTGTAAGTTCGTTTCTACATAATTCTCCTGCTATATTTATTCTCCTGTTATTTACTTTTATTTTATTATGTTATGTTAATCACCATACATTACATCATTAGTTTTTGATGTAGTGATCCATGATTCATTGTTTGTGCATAACACCCAGTGCTCCATGCAGAACATGCCCTCTTTAATACCCATTACGAGGCTAACCCATCCCCCCACCCCCTTCCCTCTAGAACCTTCAGTTTGTTTCTCAGAGTCATAGTCTCTCATGGTTCATCTCCCCCTCCGATTTCCCCCCCTTCATTTTTCCCTTCCTGCTATCTTTTTCTTTTTTTTTTAACATATAATGTATTATTTGTTTCAGGGGTACAGGTCTGTGATTCAACAGTCTTAACACAATTCACAGCACTCACCGTAGCACATACCCTCCCCAATGTCTATCACCCAGCCACCCCATCCCTCCCACACCCCCACCACTCCAGCATCCCTCAGTTTGTTTCCTGAGATTAAGAATTCCTCATATCAGTGAGATCATATGATACAGGTCTTTCTCTGATTAACTTATTTCGCTCAGCATAATACCCTCCAGTTCCATCCACATCGTTGCAAATGGCAAGATGTCATTCCTTTTGATGGCTACATAATATTCCATTGTACGTATATACCACCTCTTCTTTATCCATTCATCTGTCGATGGACATCTTGGCTCTTGCCACAGTTTGGCTATTGTGGACATTGCTGCTATAAATGTCGGGGTGCATGTACCCCTTCGGACCCCTACATTGTATCTTTGGGGTAAATAACCAGTAGTGCAATTGCTGGGTCATAGGGCAGCTCTATTTTCAACTTTTTGAGGAACCTCCATACTGTTTTCCAGAGTGGCTGCACCAGCTTGCATTCCCACCAACAGTGTAGGAGGGTGCCCCTTTCTCCACAACCCCACCAACATATCCTATTGCTTTTTAACTCAATAATTGAAAAACTCTCTAAAAAATCCCCCAATTCTAAGATCATTAAAAACACAATCATGTGGAGTTATTTTAAAGATTATTTCACCCAAAAGAGAACAAAAGACTAAGCCTATTAGAACTAAATTCTGCTGTTGAAGAAGTTTGTCTCCAATTGGTTCAAAGGCTCTCAAGAGAACATTTTTTGGAAATGCAGTGAAAACTAAGCAAAAATGGTGACTATTCCTGATTTTAAATTGTATCCTGAACTCTCCCGTCCATGAAATATCATTTTCTTTTCAAGTACATTTATTTTAGATAAATTTGAAGGTAAAAGATAAAATGAAGAGATAGCCAGAAGTAAATAACAATTATTTCTATTAGACAACTGAAAGAAATATAAAAGTAGGAAATCTTTCATTATCTTTCCTGTGCCTCAGATAAATGAATATACACATGAAAATGAGAAGAGTGGTTATAACTGAATTTTGTTAAAAACAGATCAGTCGTAGTTCAGATGAAATTTCATCAGCAGCAGTTATACCTGATCAAGGTGACAAAAGTGAATTTAATAATCTCCCTGTGGCTGTTTTTCCATCTTATCTTCAGTAGACTAAAATGGAGGATTCTGTTTCCTTAAATCCATCCTTTCCACTCTACTCCTGTTTCCAGGACAGAACTAATGAAGGGAATGTTGTTTCAGCATTTACATTTTCTTCTGAAGATTTCTGGCCCCTTCATAAGTTTAAGTTCTTGTGAATAAATACAATGTTCTAGTTCTTACAGCTCCTCTTCTAGGAAAAGTTGCTGATGACTCCCTCATCACCACTCTGTTCAGCCACCAACTGTTTTGTGTTATTAGTTATCAAAGATCCATACCTTTCCTTTTTCGACATGTTTTATGTTTTCTTTTTTTTATGTTTTATGTTTTCTTTTCTAAGTAAGATGCACCACCTATGTACCTTCCTTCTGCTCTGAAGCAATTCAGTAGGAAGTTGGTCTATCACATTTAAAGATTCATATAACGAACCCCTCCTGTGCAAAGAAAGGTCAAAAAAAAAAAACAATATGCAAGATTTATAAGAAACTTTCCTGGGGTAAACCTTACATACTTTGTGTGCATACCTGAAACCAAGGAATACACCCCTTCTACGTTTA